ATAGCGAAAGATCAGGTGCTTTAATTTGCGAAACCTATCCGAATAAGATTTTTGCTTTTCACTTTCAGTTTTGAGGGCACTCCAGCTATTTCTATTAATAATCATGGAAACATGAGTTTCGTTAGGTATAGAAATATCTTAATTAGGCGTTTATTAAACGGTATCTTGTCGGATTGTTACTTGTTCCTTGCTGAAAAATTAGGTTTAACTTAGGACTAGCATTAGAATTATGTATATCGTACAAAGGTCCAAATAAATAGTTTTAAGTTAATTGCGTTTGAAATACTTTTCGTGTATTGTATTGTATGGGAATTAACATGACTTATAAAGTCGAAACTTACTTCCTTATTATTATAGTTAGGTGGGCGATGCAAGTAGAAAATGAAAAATTCATTATCATGAACTTAACATTTTATGCAAAAATGGACTTAATCTGAGTTACAGATATAGATTTTATACAATTTTAGTTCGTAAGTTAATTTTGTATGTTATTACGTTTGTATACTACTGACAACGTTAGATAACAATCAGCTATGAAACTCTCCTGTCACTGTCAAAAACGACCGCCATTTGGGCGGAGAAAGTCGAATGCAAATTCCCCCAGTACAATGATGAAAGAGGTTGTGTGAGTTAGTGCTCAGCAGCAGCCGGTGATGCCACGTACCCTGGCAGCGGTTGCAGTTTAAAAAATTATGCTATTTCGGTATGGTCTAGTGTAGTTTGTCTGAACCAATGCAATGTTATTCCAAAAAGAAGCGACGAAGTATTGATGACTATTTATTTATGAAAAAGTTTCAAAATAAATTCGTATTGGTGAAAGTATTTCCAGTAAACAGAAAAATATTTACTTTCGCCACGCATTCTTTACTGATGTATGCTCGAACGAACCATTCCATTTTCAATGCAAACACTGTTAAAACACCGCAAACATGGCACTTCTGACGACTCCTCAGCTAGGATGCTTCTACATACACGGTGAGTCTTTAATGTCTAAGCGGTCGGTAGTTCGTATATTTAAATACCTAGAAAAGTTAGTTATCAAAATTGTTGGCAACTATACTCTCCTTACTTGGAAGATATGCCGCGCTCCACAAGGTAATTCATAACTACATGACATCACATACATTTTTTAAATGAATTTGTTTAGTATTAGCGAAGAATAAAAATATTCATGCAAAATGGTTTAGTTTTACTGATGAACAATGTTTCTTGAATCTCACATTTAAATGTTCATATGCTCTCGGTTTTTACGCGACAAGGACACCGAAATTCTTCTGATTGAGTGAAGTTTGTATGTGTCTGGTGATTTTAGTACTGCTTACATTGAAAATGCAATGGATTGATAATATCGCAGCAGCGTATAAAACATAGCAAACGTAAATATTTTATTATAAATACATCCACCAATAAAAATTTATTTTAAAACTGTTTCATGATTAGTCATCGGTCGCTTCTTTTTGGACAAGCATACTCGTTTTTATTATTGATTTACCCAAACTAGATCATATCGAAATATCATCATTTTATGATTGCAAACAATATCTGCGGCCGCTTTCATATGATACGTGGCAACACCGGCTGCTGCTGAAAACTAAAACTTTTTTCATAGTTGTACTAGGGGAATTCACATGCGATTTTCTCCACCGAAATAGCGACCGTTTTTGACACTGACAGGAGGCTGTCTTAGCTGATTGTTATCTAAGCTGTGCTACTGACTTTATATTTTATACCTAAGTTTATACCAAATAAAGATTGAATTTGCATATCTAATTTAACTGTATTATTACAAACCCTCTCTTATTGTTGGTTGTTATGGTGATTCAAGAATATTGATAAATCAAAGCGCTTTGCGTCAGCGACAGAAAATTTTTGGATGAAGTCACACTGGTCACACTTTTCTGGGTATAATGGAAGAAGAGGAAGAAACCATAGGTAAATACTTGCTTTTGTTCGCTTCGAACTTTGTGTAGTAATATTTTTAGACAGGTACTAGTTTTATTCAGTCTGTAGCGACGATGTTTCATTTTACGCCTTTGCTTCGCCGGGGATAAAAACACCACATTCTCCACTCAAAACATGCAGTCAAATATTTTCAGATGACTTTTCATCAAATTTCCTAAACTTACAAGTGTTTTAAAAAACAATGGCAATATTTCTAGAACAGAAATACTCCAAATAAAACAAACTGAAAATCTAGGAAAACCCAGCACCCTGACTGAAAATAAGGAAGCAACAAGGTATAAACAAAAAGCGTTAAACCTAAGAAAATCTGTCGAGAACTCCCACAGCCGTGTCTAAAAAAAAATATTCCTACTTCAGGGCTCTACAAATACAAACGTAAACACTAACTTTAACATATACATTAATTAGAGATGCCAGGCTTAGAGGGGAGACAGGGGGGCATGTGACCCGCCTTAAGTTCAAGTTTGAACTGGCTCGTTTGGTGGAACAGATTTTTCTATTGTGTTCTAAAAATCATCAATTTCCAGCGACGGTGTGCTATCAAGTTTGCTTAAGACTTAAGACACCGGGTACAACGGAAACTCTTGCCAAACAGGCCTATGGAGAAGTGTTTCGACAAGAGCTCAGGTTTTTCGGTGGTAAAGTCACTGTCAAAAGGGAGAGAGAGCCGATTGAAGATTAACCACGAAGTGGAAGGCCTTTATCTCCAAGAACCGATGAAAATATCGACAGAATCCGGGATCTTGAGCGTTCAGATCGTCGGTTGACAGTCAGAATGATCGGGGAAGAGTTTGACTCACACCACCGTTAATCAGATAAAAAACAATTGGGTGTTCTTGTCACACAGCAATGTCAATAAACGATTTTTTGGCCAGTAAAACATTCCTGTGGCTATTCGGCAGAGTTTCAACACTCGAAAACATCGGAGTTCCAGCACTGATACGAGGAGTGGAAGAACCGTCTCCAGCGATGTGTGGATTACGAAGTTATTTTGACGGTGACACTATAAAATTGGAATTATATTTGAAAAACAAAATTAAATAAAATCAGTCTCATCACTTAATTTACAGACCTCGTACTTCCGAACCGTTGTGGTCAAAAAATAATCCAACGTTATGCACATCTTCGATATCATTTAGACTGCAACTGATAAATATAACACACAAAAGACTATTACGAGGCCGAACACAGAAAGAACTTTTGAATCGTTTTTTGAATATCTATCGAATCAGTTTATATTTGTTTATTTCCATTTTCTGTGTGTATATGTTGTGGCATGCTGTAAATGTAATGCGGGGATGAGTTTACATAGCTCATTTTATATAATGTTTCAACCAAAATAATTTACTTCGATTTCAATATATAAATTGTTAATTAATGTATGTGAAGTTGATGTTTTGATTTTTTTGTAGAGCCTTGAAGACGAATAAATTTTTCCGAAACGTCGGGAGCTTTATAACAGGAAACTGTATTTCTTTAGAACTTTAGATCCTAAATCCAATTAATTATAAAAACTGTATCATATGAAAAGGATCATTAGAAGAATAATTTTCTATACTAAAAAATACTTTTGCACTATTTTGTTACCAAAAAAAAACCGTAGTTCCGATAAACAACGACTTGGAACGGAAAATAGCCGATGCATTTGAGGTATTCGACCACGCTGGGAACAAGAGGATAGATGTTCGTGAGGTCGCTACAATCATCAGAGGTCTAGGATGTTGTCCTACTGAAGCTGAAGTGCAGGAAGTCATTGTCAAGATCGAAGATCATCAAACGCCTGGGAGCGTACATCTGTTGCAATTTCTCCCTTACGTATCTCAGTTTATAACTGAGCATAAGTAAGTATGCCAAAATTACAATTTTTGAAAGTAAGAAAATCAAAAAACTAACAGAAGGCAGGCGTGGTTCTATCACCTTTCGAGAAACAGTATTATGTAACGTTTGATGGATAAAACAGTTGCACCTAAGGCCATTCTTTTAAATAGCAGGAGTGCGAGCGTCTTGCCGTCGTTCGTCGGCCTTATCTCTAAAAAGGCAGTAGATTTTGTGATGAAATAATTGTTGATACGAAAAATCTAGGAAAATATTCTTTTGTCGGAAACGAATTCATTCGCACACTTAGATTAACATGAAAAGCAGCCAGAAAGAGTATGTTACTCATTACAATGAACCGATAACGATGTTACTAACCTAAATATTGACTTGGCAGTGCTGACGACGCTGAATGAAATCAGCCAAATGATGGATTTCCAGGGTGTATTTTTTAGAAATGTTCCTAATTAACTTAACACTATAATTTTGTATATACAAATAATAGATAGCTATATTCATACCTTTTGAAATTATCCAAAAGTCACTTCTATAGGCGTTGCATATATGCAAGCAACTCGACTAAACTTTTATTTGCAATTGTTTACACATTGTATATATATATATATATGAAGACGTATACAATTACGATTGTATACGCGTATACAATGATCTATCTTATATTTTACAAGATGCGCTCTCCACCATCTTGCACCTATGTGGAGCATGGCCAATATAGTCGACTTATACTTAGCTCCTGATCTGTTACCACGATAACTACTGTGCGTATGATTAAAGCTTTTTATCAGCAATGGAATGACAACAAAATGACTCAGCTACGAGGGATGTCTTTTAAGTTTTGCATATAGAAACATAGTAGGCCGCGCGGATCGAAAGTCAGTACTGAATCTTAACCTCACTCTTTAGTAAACTTAAATTCAGAGTTTCACAATACGTGCAGTGTTCTCACTACAGTGAATTTTTAAGTGTCACCAAGTCATTAGAAAAATGGAACTCAACCGAGAACATTTTCGCGCCATAATTTATTACAACATTCACAGACAATTATCGCAACAAGAATGCCTTGCTGAGTTACTGTCTGTTTTCGGCAACGAAGCGCCACATCAGTTGACAAATTCCCGTTGGTATGGAGAATTCAAACGTGGACGCGTGAGTCTTAGCGACGATCCCTGGGTGTGTGCACCAAAAACGGCAGTCACCCAGGAAAACGTCGATGCTGTGCGCAAACTCATCATTGAAGATAGACATGTGACATATCGCGAGATTGAGGCGTCCTTGAAGATCTCAAAGACCTCAATTCAAAAAAATTTACATGAAGAATTAGGAGTTAGAAAATTAGTTTCTCGTTGGATACCCCACCTGTTGACTGAAGAGCAGAAAGCAGCCAGGGTTAATTGGTGTAAAAAAACGCTTGACCGTTTCAATTCCGGAAACTCAAAAAATGTGTACAGCATTGTTAGTGGTGATGAATCGTGGATTTACTGTTATGAACCAGAAAATATACGACAGTCGGTTGTTTGGGTGTTCCAAGGTGAAGAAAAGCCAACAAAAGTCATCCGTTCTCGAAGTGTTTCGAAAAAGATGGTCGCGACATTTGTGTCCAAAGCGGGTCATATTGCAAAAACTCCTCTTAATGAGCAAAGAACTGTTACTGCGGATTGGTATACCACCATTTGTTTGCCAGAAGTCATCACCGAGCTTCGAAAAATCAACCCCGAAAGAAGAATCATCCTCCACCAAGACAATGCAAGCTCGCACACAGCCCAAAAAACAAGGCAGTATTTAACGGAAGAAAACGTGGAATTATTGGACCATCCTCGGTATAGTCCCGATCTAAGTCCTAACGATTTCTTTACTTTCCCGAAAATTAAAAACTGACTGCGTGGTCACAGGTTCCAGTCACCAGAAGAAGCAGTTGACGCATTCAAAAATGCCGTTTTGGATCTGCCAGCAAGCGAGTGGAATAAGTGCTTCGACAATTGGTTCGAGCGCATGCAGATGTGTATTAATCTTCGTAGAGAATACTTCGAAAAACAATAAAGTCATTTAAAACTACCTACCGTGTTGTTTTATTTCCATATGCAAAACTTAAAAGACATCCCTCGTACTCCGCGTCAACACAAAAATGACTCGATTTCCGCTTCTATTCACATGTCGCTGCCTGCTCAGGCATTCATGACCCGCTGGTCAATAGGAGCAGGCGAATTTGAACTTTGCGCGTCAGCTTTTGTTTTGACGAGGTATAAATGATATTTGAATACATTATATCACAGGTATCTATTTATTCTTTAGATCGGGTGGTACTCAAACCACATGTAAGTATACTTGTGGCCTTTCACAATTTTGTATTTGTATAGATACGAACCTGCGACTCCTGAACAGTTGCTAGAAGCATTTCAAGTGCTTGATTCTGAAGGTCATGGCTATTTGACCAAAGAGCACATTTCCACATTGATGACACAGGATGGAGAGCCTTTTACTCAAGACGAACTCGACGAAATGCTCGAGATTGCAGTTGACCCCCATACTCAAACTATTCCTTATGAATACTACATTAATCAGCTCATGGTAAGCCGGCCTATTATACATAATACTTGTATACGTATATAAACTCGTACAATATCCAAGGAGCATGGTAAAAGTAAAACAGTAGGAGCTTGGGATGTTTCCCCGGCTACTCAGTGGTGACCTTGGATTTGATCTTGAACATTACCTTGAAGATCAATTTTGACCTAGAATGTCCCTGGTCAAGGTCATATCCAAAAGTAAAACTTTGCGGCCCACCCATTTCCGAGATCAAAAGTATCATGAAAAACGTGCGAACCTTGGTTGAACCATCAAGGTCACGGTAAAGGTCAGTTTCAAGATCACCAGGGAAAAGTCTAAGGCCCGTATCGTCAGTCGTCCCTACAATTGTAGAGCGCGTTTATGGCCTCCTTGATTGTCATACTCGTTTCTCTCCTTCAAAAATTTCTAGATTACACTTGTCCCGTGTCAGCATCACCGCTCTCCTATTGTGAAGATATGTTTTCTTTTTAATTTGCAGGAAATTTCAGGCTGATAAAACATGATATAACTCAAAACCAAGCACAATTTGATGCAAATAGATGTTTGTGACATAACCTCAAAATAGAGCGCTGACACGGAGAAGTAGAAAACTATGACAATTAAGGAGGTCATAAAGGCGCCCTACAATTGTAGGGACGACTGACGATACCGGCCTAAGTATCTGTTCTCTTCAGGCTCTAATTTTAGCTTTATTTTCGGAAAGATCCCTGAACTATTTGCAAACGAATTATTTTTGCACAGCGACCTAGAACACAGGACTATTGACGTTAAAATAATTTTTATTCTATCCGTCTCAGGGTCAAAATTATAGGGTATCATTCGAAAAAATAGTCGTGTCCCCGATTTGACGCTCACGTTGCTTTTGAATTCTTATAACTGCTTTATCTTTAGAAAGATCTCTGAAGTCATTGTAAATGAAGTTTTTTTACGATAAAATAGTTTACACTCAAGGTCATATCTGAACGTACAATATTTTCTGTTCTATCCGTTTCCGAAGTCAAAAGTGCATGTCCAAAAATCGTTCTGACCTTGATTTGACATTCAAGGTCATGCTCAACATCAATTTCATGGTCCTTTCTGCATTCTAAAGCTCCTCTATTTTATTTTGATAATCATTCTTTAATATTCTCAAATGTCTTGCCGATCCAAGAATTTGCATCACCATGGATAAAATGTTTGCTCTGTTGCAAGGTTGCTCAATCCACGCCCACGAACTACAGTGTGACTCACGGACAACTTTTAAACGACCCGTGCGAGCAAGTTATGAAACTCCCTACCAGTGGAAACAGTTTTGCATGTCGCATTTTGTTCAGTGCGGACTATGTTCAATTAATAAGCTAACTCAAAGTACAATTAAATCTCTTTTCAGCTAACTTAGCTGCAGAAAATACTGGCCTTTTTCCCCACACCAAATGATTTGAAAGAGAAGCTCAATATTGATGCTTCCAACAGTACGAATCTAAAATCGAAAGCTTATGACAGTTGTTTAAGAGTAGGGTTCCAGGACCTTCACAGTAAAAAAAAGTGCGTCTTCGAAACCATAAAATTCTGTAGAAAACCTGCAATTTCCGGAAAATAGTACCCAAAGAAGACTTTCTGGTAATAATTACTGACTTAGCGTTACAGTTCTCAAGTAGTTTCGGATCAACATACATAATTGTTTGTGAAATTGCTTTTCAAACCTTAATTATGTAAAAAATAAGTACCGCACTTCATTAACTGAGCAAAATAATTCTATATGTTACTGTCAACATCAGGTGCAGCGAATAACCGTTTGAATGCTTTAGACTGAGTTCCCTTAAGGTGATCTTTCAACTTGGGGAAGAGAAAAGAATCACAAGGACTCAAGTCAGGCGAATAAGTAAGGATAATGAGCCACAGGAATATTTTTACTGGCCAAAAACTCGTTTATTAACATTGCTGTGCGACAAGGATTATAGTGATGCAACGGGTAGTTAGTCTTGATCTGATGAACGGTGGTGTGAGTCAAATTTAACCCTTCCCCGAACATTCTCACTGTCAACGGACCATCTCAACGCACAAGATCCCGGATTTTGTGGACATTTGCATCGGTTCTTGGATATGAAGGCTTTCCGCTTAGTGGTTCATCTTCAATCGACTCTCTCCATTCTAAAAATGCCTTAAAACACCGAAATACCTGTGCTCTTGACAAAACACTATCTCCGTAGGCCTGCTGAAGTTTAGAAAGAGTTTCCGCTGCACTGTGCCCAAGTCTGAAGCACACTGTTGCTCGAAATTGATGTAACTCATTTTTAGAACACAATAGAAAAAAAACTGTTTTACAAAAAATAATCGCTACGGACAACCAAATGATTCGAACGAGTCCAAACTGAAGGCGTATCACATGTTCCCCTGTCTCCCCTGCAAGCCCGGCGCCTTCATGGTTGCCAGATCGAAGGCTCCGTTGCCAGTCTCATCGCTTAATTTACAGGTCTCGTACCTCCGATAGATGATAATGTGATCTGCTTCGAAATCGGTATTATTAGTTTTGATAGTGGTGCCTGGATGTTCTGCTTATTAAGAATGCGCGCTATGCAATGCTCGAACCCTTCATTTCCCAGTTCCGGTGCTGTCGCTGTGATGTAGGTTGTAAGTTGTCTAGTGAAAATTTATAGGCTGGGCCACTTTAAATATAGGTGTTTTTGCACTAAAGAATCATTTTACTTACTTAGCACGAACCTCCATCTGAAAAAAGCACTTACGTACTGGCTGATAGAATTGAGGCTGAGAAACCTCCTCCACCTCCTCCTCCCAGAAGAATGTCAGATTTTTTGAAAATTGCAGATGATATTGAAATGTAACTTTAAAAAAACAGCGACTTTTAATGTATCATAAAATAAATTTGTACAAAATATATAACAATTTTAAATTTTTTACTTGTATATGAAAAGGTATTTATGTATATACTGTAACAACACAATAAAAAAAACTGGTCTTAGCTTTTCTGAAAACACATATTTACCACTTTGTCTATTTTGTTTGTTTGTTGAAGATTTATTTAGCATTAATGCTACAATGTCAATTTTGTAAAATTATTCGTTTACACATTTTCTTCAATCCATTTTCCGTTAATCTATATTCTTGTCTTAAAATTGCATCACTATGCATTTTGAGTATTCATAAAGTGATTTTTTAATTTGACCTTAAACATTTTTAAATTCGAACACTAATATCATCATTCAATTTATTAAATTCAAATACTCCCTTTTGAAATACAGATTTGCTAGTTATGCTACTATTACAGTTTTGCAGATGAAAATCTAACATATACTGCCTCTGGTATTTAATTTTACAAAGTTTTAATATAACACTCCCTATATAGTGGATAATAAAAGGCAAGTCAAGAGTTATCACAGCTTAGAAAATACAATATCTTTATCTTCGCTCATTGCTGAGGAAGCTGCTTTTACTAAATCTTCACTCTGTAGCATGATTTGATTCCACATAGCCTAAAAATAACGAAATTGCAATGAAAGTATATGTTCAAAATTCAAGCCAAAACACATAAGTATAAAAACTTAACAAGTAAATAGAGAATGCTATGATTGTTATTGATTCTTGAACTCCAGAAATTTCCATATAATTCTTCCATCAAGAAATAAGCTTTTAGAAAATGATGATCATTCTTATCATTTATACAACTCTGCACCTCCGAACAATAAAATAGATGCATAAAAGACAATATAATAATGTATAGTAAAGGGTGTCTCAGAAATATTTTCGTTTTTAGATCAGTCCTCTGGCGGAATACGCATGCTCCGGAGAAACGAGACAGTTGACAAACGTTTGGCAACATTGTTAAATTTTAGTTGCAATGGAGCGTTTTACAGGGCCGCAACGTGCTTTTTGTGTTCGCGAGTTCTATAAAAACAAGGATTCTTATGTGCTTGTACGTCGTTTGTACAGAAAACATTATAACATAGCAAGAATGAGAGATGTCCCAAGCGCAAATTTAATTAAATATTGGGTAAGAAAGTTCGAGAGCACTGGAAACACGTGTATTAGTAAACCGCCTGGACGGCCAAGGTCAGCAAGATCGAACGAAAATATTGAACGTGTGCGCCAGTCCGTTAACGAGGATCCCCGGCAATCATTAAGACTGCGTAGAGCGTCTCTAACTTTGCATAAGTCAACTGTTCATCGCATTATTCGCAAGGATTTGCATTTTCACCCATACAAGATTGTTGTTACACAACAATTAAAACCACAAGATCCCGCTAATCGATTAGAGTTCTGTAGAACAATGAGAGAGCATTTTAACGGTTACAACAACATATGGTTTTCTGATGAATCGAATGTTCACATTAACGGGCATGTTAATAAACAAAACTGCCGATATTGGGCCGAGCAGAACCCGCAAAATCTTCATGAGACGCCATTACACTCGCCTAAAGTTATCGTCTGGGCTGCTATGTCAGGGCAAGGAATCATTGACCCGTATTTTTTTGAAGACAATCGTGGCCAAGCTCAAACTGTAACATCTGCGCGCTACTGCCACATGATTAGGACTTTTTTAACTCCAGCTATACAGAACCATGACAATAGAAAGACGTTTTTCCAGCAAGATGGAGCGACTTCTCATGTCACGAATGAATCCTTGGATGCTCTTCATCAGTTATTCCCAGAGAGGGTCATCAGTCGCAGAGGAGACATTAACTGGCCACCGAGAAGTCCCGATTTGACACCAGCAGATTTTTTCTTATGGGGATACCTGAAGAGTAAGGTATACACCCCACCGCCACAAGATTTGAGAGAGTTGAAGCAAAAAATAACAGATGAAATAAACGCCATTCCTCGAGCAACGCTTCGGAGAGTGATCGAAAACTTCAGTTCGAGATTAAGAGAGTGTGAAAACATGAACGGTGCTCATTTATCCGATACTCTTTTCCATAAATAAAATTAATGCTTAGGCTTTCGTTTGGTAATAAATTTATCTTTGTAAAAATATTCTAAGTATTTTTATTTATGGCATAAAATAAGAAAATATTTATGAGACACCCTTTATTAAGATATTCCCAAATAACTTTTACTTTTCTAGGTGGAAGAGTCTAATCCAACAATAGCGTCACAGCAAAAAACCTGTTAAAAATGATGAGAACTTCACACGAAATGAAAAATAAGCACAAGATGTTTGCTTCCATGGTTAGGCAATGCTACTAGAATGCCAGATATAGGGACAGCTTCATCATTTATTGTCTATATCAATGATGATTCTTTGGAAGATGAATTATTATTGAAGCTTTAACCACTTAGTCTGAATTTTGAAGGAAAACTACCCACTTCACATAGTGTAAAAAATAAAGTAGTGAAAATTTAATGTATACTTACTATATGTTCCAGTCCTTCTTGAACTGAATGATCTCTAGAGAATACCATGCTCCTTTTGGTGCCTTGAACTGCTACTGGGCTTTTCTTAGCTATGGTTTCTGCTACTTTGATCACGTCATCAATCATTCTATTCAACGATATGCATAGATCAACTCGCATGTCATTTTAACCAAGATATTTGAACATAAAATTGCCATGGAGCCATTATTTTTTGCTCATCATGGCGTACCAAGTGTTTTGACGTGTAATTACTTTTTTCTCAAGTTAAAAGAGAAGAATATAAAAAAATGTATATGGAAATGTTCTAAAAACAGATTTGCTTACTCATCTTTGCTCCCAAATACTCTGGATACCAATCCACAGCTGAGTGCTTCATCTGCAAGCATTTTTCGAGCAGTGTAGCACAACTCCCTTGCTAAACTCTCAGAATGAATGATTTTAGGTAGCCTCTGCAATGTTCCTACATCTGCGGCCAAACCAACATCAACCTAAAATATGAATAAATAAATCATTATTTTAACAACAACATTTTTGTTGCAATAACTACGAAATGATCATTTTTAAGCATTTTACTTTGGCATAATTATAAGACCTTAAACTCACCTCTTTTACTTGAAAGACAGCATCTTTTGAGCAGTACCGAATGTCAGCAGCAGATATGAGATCAACTCCAGCACCTATACAAAGAGAGTGAACAGCTGCTAAAACTGGTTTCTTGCATAGTTCCAATGCTGACAAGCAGTCTTGGAAGGACCTTATGACATTTAATAGATTTTTTGCTTTTCTGGCAACATCATTTTCTCCTGATATGAGTGAAGCCATTTCCATCAGAGCTGAGATGTCAATACCTAAGAACAATATGAATTTAGCAGAAGAATAATGATGACATATTGGTGCCATTTGGTATAGCATGAATATTCTATCTAGAAAAAAGATTCCAAAGCATTTGGTCAATAAGTTATATTCATTACCTGCTGTGAATACTTTTCCTTCTCCAGATAAAACTATACTGCGGCAGTTTTCATCATCACTCAGTTCTTCAAAACATCTTTTTATTTCACTGAAAATGTTAAAATTAGGTATAATCTAACAAGTAGGTATATGCATGTATCATTTTTCTAAACCGTGTAAGTCTATAATGCACATATGGAACCATAGCTATCATAGGATAAGTGCCCCAGGACCCCGTACAAGAGCCTTAGTACAAATGTGTTTCTTTGCTTTTATTAGTTATCACCCAGACTTTCTGTGAACTTCATCATCATCTGTTTAGGGGGCCTCATATGCACAGTCAAGAACCCCAGAATGAAAGAAACATCATTCTTTTGGTCATTAATGGTTTTAGGCCTCTACGTCTCAATAGAGCTAGTGCACAGTGATTCCCCTTCCATACTAGGGTGGTCATAAATACATAACATAGATTTAACCTTTTTTAGTGTAATTTAAACCTTAAAATACAGTTGTACACACATGAAATTACAATTTATAAAATTCTTTTTTAGAAAAAAAAAATACTATGTAGGTACTTAGTTTTTCATTATTTTTGTATGAGATACAGTCTTAGATCAACTTTATATTCAAGAAATGAAACAGTTCATAATAAGAGCAAACAAGATATACTGGAAAAAAATTATAAACTCTTAACTTATAATACACTATAATGGAAACAATCAACTTAGCAAATCCAACACAGATTTTGACAATATGTATTTTTTTAACAGGTCACTTTTGTAAACCACTACCCTCCTTAGAGCGCCAAATATTAAAAATAGTCCTCCTTGAAACAGAATACTTTAAAAAAATTACCTAAAACAACAACAAAATTGGATTTGGAAAACACCTTTTTTCTGTACTATGAAACATGGTTTGGCACCTCACAAACCTAAGAAGGGGCAGTAAGATGCAGATGAAACCTATATGCCCCTAATCTAGACATTCTCTACTTTAAGATAACATTTATCTTATCTGCAGCAAGGTGCAGCCAAAAGTTTGTTAACTTGAAGTGAATTGATTTTGTAGGAAAAAAAAATCTAGCAAAAACAACTTTCAATACAAAATTTACATATACAACTACAAAATGCAAGTTTGTACTAAAAAAAATAGTAAGATCAGATGCCTTATTCTTGCAACTTCATATTATCACTACGAGATAACACTAGGGTTGAAATTATAATCCACAAAAAGTTGCAATGACTTACACATAATTAGACTAATAAACTAATAAATAAACATATTTAACTTAGGGACTCATCTAGACCCTTATAAACTCATGAGTTTTTGGGATTTTTGGCATATGGTGGAATCACTGCGCAGTGGTAGTAAAGGCACAGGTGGTGATGGGGATGTGAACTCTGGCAACTAGGCCATCTTTGAAGCTTCTGCTTATCTATTGGTGACTTATTACTAATGCAACTTCCAAGCTGGGATGCGAACTTGCTAGCCTCATATCTAATGTGCTAGCTGCTCAACGCACTAATATTGGGAACCTAGCCCCCAATTCATTGGAGCTACCAAAACATTTTGCTAAAGATCCCCATCAGATCAAGTTTAGAGATATATAATATTGCTACTTACAACCACATGGGTTTATTGATTGCATTGTACTTGTCAGGTCTGTTCAACTTCACATGATAGACAAATTCCTTTGGCACACTTATTGACAGAGTTTTGTATGCTGAACCTGAAGACATCCTCAGAAATAAATTAGTACCTAGAAAAGAAAGTATGATAATCAGAAAGTCTTTACCTAAATATTATAGCTTACTAGATGCAGTTGCAGCTGCAGCTGTTTTTATTGATTGTGCCAGCATCTTAATTTTACCAAAAATAATGAATATAGAGTACTTGTACCGAATATTATAGTACTCTGTACTTGCACTTTGAACCACAAAACTTTGAACTTTAGATTTTACCTGGCGGTACAAAATAGTTTGTTGATAACACAGTTGATAAGCACAACAAATAAATCACCTGCACCTCGTTCAGGATGCGTGATTATACCACTGACACAACATCAACATAGAACATACTGGACTGCACAACTGCACTACTGGCCACCGTGCAGTACCGTACGTGCAGTATTCGCCACAAGTATTCGCATGAGTCTAAAGGCCCGGCCACACAACAGCGACTTACTTGTACGGTCTAGTTTGCGCGATAAGGACGGAACACCACAGGGTGGCAACACGATGCAAGCAAGTTTGCATAAACCTCATTGAAGTTAAAATAATCTGAGAGATCGGTACAGGTCAATTATTTTGGAACAATGATGCCAAATGATGAATTGTTTGTTTTGAATACATTTTTATGCTGTCTTTTTCTGAAGAAGATGAAGAAAAGAAATATAGGTAAAACTGGAGTAAAAAGTGGCTTCTAAAAAGAAATATACATTCGCATGTCAATCTAATTAACGAACTAAATTGTTTAGATCAAGTACGCAAGTCTGCCCTTTTACCTGCACGCCATCCACACGTAAAAGTTCAACTGCATAAACAAGTTTGCGCAAGTAAAACTTTCAGCAGAGCGACGTTCACACAAGCCGCACTTGCTGGTTTGCGCAAGCTACCGTCCACACGCTACGTGTTTGCATAAGCAAGACCGTGGTGATACTTACACTTGTGGTCGGGGTTTAAAATGACGGAATGACGCCAGCATTAGAGAGAGAGGTCAGAGAGAGACTGAGATGGAGCTAATTACGGCAGAATAGCCGGCGGTAATGAGCAAAACACACGTTATTTGAACATAAGTCCTATAATTTTAGTATTTTCTGTTTATTCAAGTAGTTTACAGACATTATTCCATAAAAACAATTATTATCATATTATATCTAATTAAATGTTTATTTACTGCGAAACTATCAAGTCTTTTTTATTAAAAATATACTTACCTACCTACGTTTTACGCGTTTGATGCTTGCAGGATAAATATATATTTATATTCTTATTACAACACTGACTGTTGAAAATGATTTGTTTCATAAACGGATTGTGCAGATAAATAATTATGATGATGAATAATTTATTATTCAAATAACTAGTTTTTCGTTTTCTTCTCCGTCGCTCCAATCTGACAAAAAATATGTTTAATGCTAGGAGTTACCTTATAATTAGAAATTGTGTCAAATGTAAGGATATATTTTGTAGTAAATGGTTGTAAAGCTAGCTTGCAAAATAATAAAAGTAAGTTGTTTCCCCGTATCCTTTGAACTACCCTCTGAAAAAAATCTTAATATATTGGTAAGTATGATAATAATAGAATAAAATAACACATTTTTAATTACCAGAAGGCATGTTATTAAGAAACAGGGTTCAAAACAACAACAAAAATACATAAGTATCTAAGCTAAAATAAGGACATAACTACTGCATAAAAATTGAATATTGAAATTCAAATTTCTACGACCTAGAACTGCGTGTGTTGGTTAAATTCCCACCGAGAATAGTCGCATTCTAAGTTAGTATTTTGTGCTAATCGTTAACAGAGGACGCACGCATATAAATAGGCACGTATAAAACCGCTCTCACACACGATGTGGCGAATGCCTTACAACGTTGGACACATGTCCATTCGCCACATCTGTGGGAGAGCGCTGACGGATTGCATGTGTCCAACGTTCGTCACATAGCACGCTCGAGCGCTTCTCGGTAAATTTAACCCGCGTCAAAGGAACATGCTTCCAACGTTGTAAAGTCCTTTGCGATCCCACACGAGATGTCATGTGTTTGATGGCCTTAGGTTAGAACCAGTAGCGGCTAAAAACATTATTTACTTGTTTGCTGTGAGTGTGGTGAAGTATTTTGATTTGATTACCTACCTATTCATAATAATGCATGTTCCGTAACTAGCTTTTGAGGAGAATGTATTAAATTAGTATACATACAAAGCATAGGCTGCCATAACAACATTTTTTTCATATTGATAATATTCTGTATGTTTCGCAGGTGAGTTATGGCTGGCCTAAGGAAATGTATTGTAGTAAATTGTAAATTATCAAGTGCTTAAAGTTGTTTCATTATAATGTTCTATTGCAAGACTAGTTGAGAGATATATTGACTTTCGTTTCATAATTAACGAAAACGATTAAATAAATGATAATTCTGAAAGTACTATCAGGATTTAGCTGAAATTTTGGTCCTAGGCCACTACCATGAAAATGACGAAAAAGCTCTGCAGTTTTTGAAAATCGGTACAGTGGCGGTGGAGTTATCGTCGAAAAACAAACAAAAAACGGTCAAACATAAATCAAATTCAAGCGGATAACCAAATGGAAATGGTATTTACCATTTTGGGTTGGTATTTACCAATCCGTTCAAGCGACTGTAGTTATCAGTTTGGTTATAAGATCCGTGACGTCACGAATCAGCTGTTATATGTCATAGTTATCACCGCAAAATTGTGGTATTTACCCAACTCAAGAGTAGTTTTATATTTCTGGTTATTATTTGAAATGTGACAAGTTAGAATTTTGCCGGGTATTGGATATTGTTATTGTACTTCAGCTTCATTTTTGAGAAAATGATACAGGCTGACTTCAGTTTTACCATAAAGTGGAGCACCTTATCAGTTATACTCATTACGGTTGTTGGGGACACTTTAAATGTAGTTTCTATGCTTAACAAAGTATCCTGTGTAGCCATATACCACAAGAATATTAAAATATGGCCATATAAAGTCACTAACTGATATCCACCTGTATACGGTTTTGCTAATTTCTTTTTTCATCATTTCTGCTGAATCAATAAATGTTTTCTTTGACATGCGGAAAAATTTAGAGAATTGAAAGTTATCATAGCTACAAGGCCATGGTTCCATCATTAAAAAAAAATCTGAAAAAAACATTTCTCCATGAATATTATGAAAGGTTTCACATTTAAACTTTCCATATACAGTTGTAGACGAAAAAGCACCGATTATTAAGTGATAATAAAAATAATCAGAGATTATATACGCGCTTTTCTAAAATAAACAACTTGCAACAAAACCGCGGTTAGAACCAACGCGTTCAAGCGATTCGTGTAATTGACGTCATCAACCCGTGTGTCATCTTGAACCATATTATAACCGCGGCACATAACACAGAAATTTTGGTTATTCGCTTGGATTTGATTATAGTTTTTCGACATTTCTGAGGGTTATGACAGACTTAAGTTTTGATCACTTTAGACAGGTTCAAGCGCAATACTGACACCGATAATAGACGTTGGCACCACCATGAGTCGAACGTCCGAGACTAAAAAGTTCAAGCCATCGTGTAGGAGACACACTTGCCAATTGTTGTAAGCAAAGTTGACAACGTTGGAAGCATCGTGCGGGACCCCCATAAGACCGTCGCCACTTGTGATGCCAGTCATCAGTAATCGGTACGAAGTACCGGTACTTTTGTTAAAGTAATCGGTAACCATGATTATCGAAGAGTAACCGTATTTGACAACACTAGCTGCTATGTCATCATGCACCCAGCTGTGCAACTGGTGAACTGGTTGCCTGAAATAATTTAAAGGAAGCCATACACTGAGCATATATCAATAGATAAGGTGAAAAAGATTTCTGAATATGAAGAAATATACATCTACATTATTTTGCAAATTTATTGTTTATATATTTATGAATACAACAAACATATTTAATCGTATCTTTAATATCTTCGGTTTGAAGTAAACGGACTTTGACCTTGAGCTCGACCTGGGTGACTAACATTGAAAACCACTACAATCGTTTTCAAATTTTCTTCAATATGAGGTCAGCTACATCTAAAATGCATTATAACATACAATATACTCCATGTCTAATATAGTAGTACTATTAAAACGTCGCCTATTTTATTTTATTTGTGTAAATGTGCAAGTGGCATCTCACACATGCTTTTCTGTAGAGAATGATTATAAATAATATTTAGCTTTTTTTAAACAGGCGAACGTACAGACAAAATTGCGATGTGAAGCTTTGACTAAAACAATCGCAATGTTACGAGCAATGCAGACAAGCAAATTACATTAAATGAGAATACAAAATACAATGGTATATAATAATTATAACAATACGAAAACATTTATTAGACAAACGCACATTAACATGCACTATTATAATGCTTCATCTTAGAATACCTATACTCACTTCATAGTCAAATCAGGTGAAAAAAGTGGTGAAGTTGGCGTATTTTATAACAAAACTCGTACGTGACTTATTTGGATTGGATGATGATTTAAAGTACCTAAGTTCAAATACTGAGAGCTTAGAGTAAGGCTTTTTGAAAAAAATTAGCCAACTTACACACAGAGATCATAAAGTTGCAACTTGATGAGACAATAAATCTACTTAAGATATCCATATCTGTCGGAAGGTTTCATTCATTAAACATAAGAATAAACGATTTGAAGCACATTGACAAACAAAAGGATCATTATATTTGTATAATTAAACAGAAAAACGAATTAATCTGTAGTTGACTATGGAGCAAAGTACTGCTTCCATGTATTCAATTTGTGCATTCGTCGCACCTGAAAATATCCCATACAAGTCTTCTGGTACAATTTAACAAACGAAATAGTCGTGCAAAATGCGGAACTGGTATGACTGGCACACATTCTTTTATGTATTTCCGTTAAAAAAGCTGAGGTTAGGCTAGATTTTACCCGATAAAAATATTGTAAAATAAATAATAAACAAGCTGCTACCTTAATTGCCAAAAGCGATTATTTGGATACAACAAGGGCGGGTTCAGGATTTCGTCTAGGGGGGGGGGCGCAAAAGATATTTGGGGCTGGTCATTTTTTAACCTCAGTTAAATCCATTGTGTTCTATCTGGTCAGCTTGAAAAAAAAACATGGAAAATGCTCAGAAATCCTCAGAAAGACAATATTTTATTATATGATAACAAAATAAGTACTTGGCATGTTTAATTAACTAGTGTAATAATATTAAAGATTCAAACATAAAAACCTTCATTGCTGGTAACAAAAAAAAAAACATTCTGAGGGACTTCGAGACATATCCCAGTCTATTCCACACAAAACAATGTTTTTGATTGCGAAAACGAACACGACATGGTTAGGATGGTCTGACAGGCACATCGCGTGGCGGCATCATGGAAGAGAGCGCTGAGGAGCAAAGCGCGTTGGTGTAGCCGTACAAGAGAGCTAGATCACCGACGGTCCGCCTGTGCGAAAGGGTCCCGAGACTGTCTGTTATAGAAGAGTCATCGATCAGTCGGACAGCCCTCCTCTAGTCAGCATCGAGCATAAATAATGTAGTCGGGGTGGCAGCACCCCAAATGTGTGAGCAATACTCGAAGCTAGGCCTTATCTGGGCCTTGCATAGAGTGAGAAGGTCATGTGGAGAAAAGTACTTCTGAGCCCTAAACAAATAGCCCAACTTTTTCCCAGCAGCTGCCGCTCTTGAAAAAATGAGTTCGTGTCAGACCATCCATCGAAACCGGATAAGCTTTAGGACTCTTTTTGTTCGTCAAGGTACAGTACTGTGTTTTGGCAGCATTAATCTGTATAAGATTGTCGCGTCCCCAAGCAGTGATAGCCTCTAGGTCTCTCGTCAGAGAGGAAGTCGTCGCTAGTCTTCTATTTTCCAGCTCAGCGGCAGAGATCGGCTGTCACTCTGAATTCGTGCATGTAGAGTGCTGTCATCAGCAAAACTGTGTGGTTTGGGTTGATCGTGCAGAAAAGGAGGTCGTTGATATGTAAGAGGAACAGTGTCGGAGCCAAGACCGATCCCTGGGGATCACCCCCGTTGACGTTGTGAGATGAAGAGGAGAACCCGTCAATTACGTCGGATATCTTGCGGCCAGAGATAAAGTCAGCCACGTATCTGCAAAACTTTTCTGGGAGGTCATAGGATGGAAGTTTGCTTAAAAAGGCAGCGTGTCACAGCTGATCGAACGCTTTCGTAATGTCAAGAGCAACGATATAAGCCTCATTATAAGACTGGACGAGTTTACTCCACAATTGCGTGACGTAAGCTAGGAGGTCCCCTGTGGATCGCTGGTGCCGAAAACCATACTGCCTGTCGCTAATCAAGCTGTGACGTTCGAGATAGCCCAGAAGCTCGCAATTTAGGCACCTCTAAATCACCTTACCTATAACAAAATGCAGAGCTATAGGCCTGTAGTTGTAAGTGTCGGTCTTAGATCCCTTTTTCGAGATGGGTTAGACATGAGTGAATTTCCAGTTTTCTGGGAAGGTACCAGATTCATAAGGTATCTGGAAGAGACGCGAAAGAATTGAGCAAGCTCCGCTGCACACCTCTACAGTACAATGGCAGGAATCAAGTCCGGTCCAGAAGCTTTGTTGACGTCTGAGCGACAAAAGCACTCGTCTAACGGTCTTATACCTGAATGTTACTTCCCGCATAGTATAGGGAACCCTTTGAATTGACGAGACTTGGGCGGTGGAGGGTAAGTCCATGGTGGAGTTGGCAGCAATGATCTTGGCAAGGACTTCCGCCTTGGTCTTTGAGTCCGATACAATCGTTTCATCCTGACACGTAAGTGGTGGAAGGCTGCTGTGTGAGAGTTTCTTTTCAATCTGCTTGGCCAGCGTCCAGAAAGACTGACTGCCATTGCGCTGTGACCCTGGTTTAGACACTTTCACTGTATGAGGGATGTATTCCTCCATTCCGACGTGGAAGGCTTATCGAAGATTCTATAATAAATACTGCATGAACACGTTTTACATAAACAAAATATTTTATAATATATAATATAATAATTTCAAGTTTTATGAACGACCACTGGCTTTAAGTTTTGCTTAGATCACTAGATGGGGTTAGAAATCTACAATTCATTAAACACAAAAGCGCACAATACAAACACTGTCACGAGTATCCATCACGGTAGAATGACAGCTGGTTATCTAGTAAGATTTCAAAATTCCCCATTATGGCAGGACACATTATATACTCGTGAGATAGGCAATACAGACACGAAGTAATCAGTTTAATCATGAAGCACCTAGTTATATGGTTAAGTTCGCTCTACTTTCACCTAAACTTAATATGCTCATTTTCAACTGTTTAACTAACTTGTTACTGTTTAACTAACTTGATACTGTACTATCAGATAGCATTTTTTACACAAACAAGGGTTCGGACAAAATGAGTCTATATGATGCCGCCGAAAGTATTATAACATTCATTACCATACTGAGTAGTTTTGTCTTCATGTCGTATATTACTGCACAACAGCTTCTTTATTTTACAAACGTTGCCAATAATTACTCCGATCCAAATTGCTCCAAAAAACCAAAACAGGCATTGCTTAAAACAGGTTGGTATCGGACAATGTTCTTCCCTATCTGAACTTTTTTCCTTTAATGCAAACGTTGTTCTTTTAATTCCAGTTTGGCAGTTACCTGTTGGCTTTCTATTGCAAAACAAGTCTGTTAATTCCTGATTCAAGCTCGTAACCCACTCCTTCAAATTACAATTCCAAGGGTTTCCATGTGATACTAGCGTAAAGCCTATATCGGTTTTGAGCTTCTCCAATAACGATGAAGGCAAAAACTTGATATTATTATTCGAAATATCAAGGACCTTCAGATTCTTAATGCATCCTATGTCGGAATCAGACAGGTTTTGGAGATTATTGTCAGACAAATCTAAAACTTCCAAGCAAATGTCTGTCGAGATGTTGAACGTATCTAAGTTGTTGTTTCCTAGGTTCAAATATTTTAAAGCTGTTAAATTAGAAAAAGCGTCGGGCATTATTCCTCTAAGGTGAACATTTCTCAAAACGACTTTGTTGAGATTTGGGAGTCTTTCGAAGAATACTGGTTCTATCAGTGGGATGTAGCTGTTAGTGATGTTTAATTCGCTGACTTCTTCCAACAGGTAAGTATCGTCAATAGAGGAGCATACTATGGATTTGTTTCTGAGGCTGCATTTTGGCGCTTGCGCAAGAGAATTGCAACTGAAAGAAGAACTTTTTTGTAAAATAATCACTGAGAACTAAGGTATACAACATCTTTGTAACTAGTACACTTCAACTAGCATGTAAAGGTTTGGAAAGTTTAACTGTATTGTTGTTGTACTATGCTTTTTTTGCTGTACGAAGGATTGAAAAATGCAGGTGCTAACCTGAAGAATAATGGGGTATTTTTCAATATATTTATTTCGATCGATTATCGAGAATTTGCCGCCAAATTGCATGGGTGATTTCTTTTATCCAAGGGGTTAGATAGTTGCTTCATCATATACAAATGCAATGTAGTTAAAAGATATTAAGGAACCATCATCAAATACGGACTATTTTGGGATTTATAACCTTCTGATATTTTTTCCTAAACTATGACCATCTGAGGTGAAACAAAAATGTACTGGGTTATAACTGCATTTTAATGAATGAAAAGATTGCTCATTGAATACAGATTTCAGGAAGGCATCACACGTACTATTTGGAATAGAAAAAAAGTGACAGCTGCTTTTTTAAGTGACTGACACACACTACAATGTAATTATTGGATTTAAATTCAAGTTGCACTGGTTACCGATCAGTGACATACTAAATAGTACAAAGCTACATTATTATAACCTGCTCCTGATATGATTTTATGAAAGTTGAGTAAACGATATCAAAATCCCAAAATAGTAATAATTTGATCATGGTTTCTTAATATATTTTAACTACATTGCATTTGTATATGATAAAGCAACTATCTAGAAGTATTTTATAGAAAAACGAAGCAAGAATTACCTTATTTGTACATGCAGCTAAAGTCAACAGATGAAAAGGTTAGTTTTTTTTAAAATTCAATATCTCAAAAACGGTGACACTTTTATATAGGTAAGTTTTTGTTATTTGGGAGGCTAGTCCAAAGCCTAACATCTCCTTAAGTTTGTCGTGGTACTTATTGGACACCCTGTATGACTGGTTTAGAACCAGAAGAATCTCTGCCATACTATTAAAAATGTAATCAATCTATTTAAGATCGACTTCAGTGTCAAACTATTACATCTCCAGATAACTCTCATTCCAATCGATTGCAGTTTTTGCAGCTCAGCTAATTGAATTATACTAAATAAGTTATGAACTGTCGTGCAATACTCCGAATGGTATAAGAGTCCATGACAAAAAAACCTACATGATCTGTTAGAAGAAAGATTTCCCGCTCCCAAGTATAGTGGATGAATGATTATCATGGAAATGAATCAAGTGGCGGGTGTAGTTCGCAGGGGTTAACTTGTGGGTCAATATGGACCCCAAAAGACGGTCCCGCACCGATATTATGTGAACAAACCTATAAAACATAAAAAAACAACAGTAAAATGCATCTCGTATACTAGGTAGTTTTTAGAGTGCAAATAGTTCATTCCCCGTTTGTTCGCTATGATCGCTGTGAGCGTCCATCTAACGAGGGAAGACTCAACTACACGCATTGTGGGCTGCAGAAAGCAAGTGGATATATATTTTGTGAAGCCGAGTAGTCTGTAGTGCTGATCTCTGAGATGTGAAAGAAAGAAAGTTGGTTGAATAGCAAGATCGCATCTGGATGATTATATGTATTGAGTTATCAATGTTTGGCTCTGATGTGATGTGAAGTCTGTTTCAGAGACGGCATTACTGGAGGTCTAAGTTGTAAGTTGTACCTGTTGATAATAATTCCATTGGATTCTTGTCTCAAATACACTTAATTGAGATTCAAAGCTAGAAATTAGTTGCGCATCCACTTTTTCATATCCATTCTGGAAATTACATATGCAAATTTGCTGATTCAAAAAATAATTATATTCACTGTACACTGTCGAATTACAAGCCATATACTCGTACATGCTAATAGTAATTACACACAACGGGGGCGCGGTGATGATTTCCCGTAATTCTCCTCAAAGTTCCGTAAAACTTTGAACAACACCTGTTTTCAGAAGGGACAACATATAAATAACCCGTCGGGCACAGCTAATAGATGTATTTCATTGGCAGCATATTCAGTAATGATTTTCTCACACAGCCAATAACACCGATTTTATACACATGCAGACCAATACACATAATCATCCAGATGCGATCTTGCTATTCGACCAAGTTTCTTCTCAGAGATAAAAACTACAGACACGCACCACTCGGCCTCACCAAACATATGCAGCCAATAATGCGTATATATAGTTTAGTTGAGTGATTCCTCCAAAGATGGACGTTCACAACGATCCTAGTGAGCAAACGTGGAATCGTTGTTTGCGTCCTAAAAACTACCTAGTCTGCAAGATGACAGCTTATAGGTTTTTTTTGACGTTTTTTAGGTTTTTCACATGATACCCGTGCCGTGCCGCCAAGAACGGTGACGGCAACTATACCGTTTTTTTTCTAACTTTGCACTATTTTAGACCTAAGTTCAGTACGCTTGGGATATTTGAGTAATTAGATCAAATGACTGTGTCTAAAGGCTGATCCGACAACGGACTACTTTATCTACAATAAAAAACTTACCTGCCAAAAAATACATAGGCAACAACACTTGTACAGAGAGTACTGAACTTCATATCGAGAGAACTAGCTTCTATTGTTGTATTCGAACTTATAGATATGACATTCTTATGGTCAAATTGAAACTTATCAGTGGTCGTTTTATCGACGAAGATTAGGAGGTACTCCCGATAGGACTGGCAGTCTAAGCGAGGTAAATATTTGAGGCCGAATAGATTTTTTATAAGCGGTATATCTGTAGCAGATAACAAAAGTATGTAAATCACTCTTTGGTATGTTGGTTACACGTCAAGCTATTGTTGACAGATAATACAGGGTGTGTCGGCACATTATTCGCGGATTCGCATCATGCGAAAATCTATAAATAGTTGAACGATTTTGCAACACATTTCATAATAAAGGTAACGGGAAGGGCATATCATTGTTGAAGAGGTTTTTCATACTGGAATGGCCACAAGGACGAAATTTAAGTACTGACATACTGCGACTGCTATGCAATTTGAAAACATCTTGCTAATCCAGAAACGCTATTGTGACAGATTTTTCCAGATTCTCAGTAGATTAGAAACAAAGGAGTAATCATACCGATCAGTTCTGGGTGTACGAGATTTGACCTATTTTTAGGAGCAGAATTGAAATATTGGCCAATTTTGTAGTAACTGAATATGAAACTGAAATTTTGAGGAAGGGAGTTTATAAAAACGAGGGCATCGGCAAATGCAAAATGGAGAGCGGCCGGGCGTGTTCATGGTAACTCCAAGTTTGGTATCATTGATACATACACTTGAAGGACTCTGGCATACGGAATCACGAGAATTACCATATGGATGGAAGAAAATGGCTTGAAGTTGGCTCCTGAGAAGTAGTTATACTTTCTGGCAGAGAGAAGCTAATTTCATTATTTTGGCTATATGGAGCTACTAAGTATAACAAGGTATTGAGGAAAAACAGCTAAAATTGAGAAGCCAGCGAAAAGTAGTGCGTGGTATGCGCTTACAGCACGCTGTCGAACGCTGCACTGCTGGTGGTAGCTGGTATCCCGCCAATGGATTTGCTGGCTGCGGAGAGATGTGCGCTCTATAAAAAGGGTGTCGAAGCTGCAAGCGACCAAAGAGAGGCACATTGCAGGAGAGATGAGTTTCTTCTGGCCATCGGGCAGAGACCAGAAGGTTGATCCCATATACGAGTATTAAAGATTTCCTCACATTTATAGCGAATCTCACACTTTTGGGATGAAGGACCGGCAGGGCAATACTGTCGAGTTGTCTGAGAGTGGCTATAAAAGCTTTTCCCTGTCAAAAAAAAGTTTGGTATCTTAGAATGATTGTACTGGTTCGCAATGAAAAATTTCCCAAACAATTTTTCATGATTTTCTCTAGTTTTAAATTGTTGGTTACAAAAGTATGACTCATACACACTTCATTTTAAGCAGTTACCATGGATGAGGAAAACATAAATTTTATAAGATTTTTTGGAGAATAACTCATTTTAGATACTGATGAAGATTCCAGCACTAATCATCCACCATATTAAATGGGCAAATATGTATATCCCACAACCTTTGGTAATCTTCCTCCTTTCTTACGAATGGTCATATCTTTGACCTTGCTCTTCTCTATAGCCTCAACAGTTTTTCGAAAATCTATCCAAATGATAATGTATGTAGTGTATAGCTTGATGCTCATGTTACACCCTAGTTTCAAATTAGACAAAACATAAACAAGTAATTGGTGAATCGGTTTTCTGATTTATGATTCTCAAGATAATTTTGCATCACCGAAATTTAAGCTTTTCAAGCTCGTTCACAGATTCGACGAAATTTGGGTCTTTTAGCAGCTGACTAATATGCGGCCCATTTAAAACGCATGCTTTCTACCTTTCTTTGCTTAGTCCACGAAATCAGAGTCAGATTCAAGTTTTTATTCAGCTTTCATGTTGTCACATTAGAAACATGGTGATGATGCCGATTTTACCGGCACTGGTAATGGATCAGGGTAATTCACAAGTCGTGAACAAAAATAAAACATCATACACAGGACCGCATTTGTAACATTTTTTCGTCGAGGGCTTCATGAAAGAAAAAGATACGTTGAAATTTAAAACTAAGCAATAATTTTATTGAACATCTTCAAAATCGTCAACTGGAATGAACTAAAATTTGGCATGTGGATTTACCTAAGTATTGTTCACATTTAAAAGTCTTTACTAAAAATTAACGTGCACCAGTGGCGGAGATACAGCGGACTAGTTGCATTATTTTTCCAAATAAAAATAGTGCGCCACTGTTTTTTTTTCGAAACGCGCAATTTTTAGAGTTTTACTTTCAATTTGCTACGAATAATTACTCTTGTGTTATTTTCCTAGAGTGTACTGTTTTCGTAAAATTCAAAATAAAATACGACGACTTAATACCAACTTGATGCTGACGTTCTAATCCATTGATTCCCAAAGTGGTCTATATCGACCCCTAGGGGTCTATGACAACCTGCAAGGGGTCTACGTCAGCGAAAAAAAATTTGGGGGTCCATGAAATGAATATGGGGGTCCACGATAGTGGATCTCAACACATACATTGATAGTACCTATTTACTTACATCATACTATCTTATAATATCAAAACATATACATTATTTATAAAAGTACCTATGAAGTAAAAAATGTATTAAATATGTTTACAAAATTGTGTTGTAGAATGTTGGTATTCGCTTTGTGGTCGCAATACATTTTGAACTTGTAAAAACCTGAGAGTCGCAGTCTCAGAGCTTTGCTGCCTTGCACTGACTTGTTCAATTCGTCACTCTATAAATACGAATGTGGGACAAATACGTTTATTCGTTTCCTGAATCTTGAAAAAGAAAGTGCTAAGAAAATATTTTAAAAAATATAAACAGTATATCACACAAATTATAGTGAGTTATTTTGTTTGAGAGTGCAGGAGAGAAGTAAGTACATTATTTTTTATTAAATTTTAGTTTTGTACTCGTAGTTAGCAAAGATAGATAAATTACGCCAATCATGACTTTAGTTATTAGTAGTTAAATATTCAATCATGCAAAATTAGACGAGTACTCCTCAATAGTTTCTTTTTGAAAGTTTTAGCAATCGGTAATATAATTACAGTGCAATCTCCGTAATTCGAGCTAATTGTTGCAAGAAGATGTTCGAATTATGGATTGTTTTCGGAAAAATCAAAAAATATTTTTAATATACAGATGCTGGATTTTCTGTCTTATTTAAATAATTTAATTTTGCCCACAGATGACTGATGCCATGTCGGAATCTAAAAAGAAATGTAGACAGTACAGTGTTGATTATTTGAAATTAGGCTTCATTCCATCATTGCCGGACAAACAATCGCCTATGTGCGTTTTATGCAACAAAGTTTTGGGCAATGACGCTATGAAACCATCTAAACTGCAAGATCATCTGAGAAGATGCCACCCTAATAAAACAGAGAAAGATTTGAAATACTTTCAAACACTCAAAGATAAATTTCTGAAGACACCTACACTGGACAGAATGTTCGCTTCGACGTCACAAAGAAATGATGATGGTTTGCGGGCGTCTTACAATATCTCGTTACTTATACCAAAATCCGGAAAACCGCATACTATCGGAGAGAAGTTAATTTTGCCAGCCGTTGAAGAGGTTTTAAAAACTGTTTTACACAAACCTGCATCTGCTCCCATTAAAAGAATTCCCTTAAGCAACAATACTGTTGAAAGACGTATTGATGAAATGAGTTCTGATATTGAAAGCATCTTATGTAATTATTTGCAAACGACCCATTTCTCTATACAACTGGACGAGTCACCTTTACCTGATAATGCAGCATTATTATTGGCATATGTTCGTTTTATTATGAATCAAGAAATCTACGAAGAACTGCTCTTCGCAAGAATGTTGATAACCGACACTAAAGGTGAATCAATATTTCATGTTTTGAAGGATTTCTTCATTGAGAAAGCAATTCCTTTATCAAATATAATATCAGTAGCTAGAGATGGAGCACCTGCCATGGTTGGACGTTATCGTGGATTTATAAGCTATTTAAAACAAAATGTGTCAGGGGTGTTAGCAATACATTGCGTTTCCATCGACAACATTTAGTTGCTAAAAATTTGAGTGTTAGATTGCATGAATCACTTCATTTAGTCATTGATGCAGTAAACCGAATCCGAAGCAACGCGTTGAATACGCGGTTATTTGCGCAGTTGTGTGAAGAAAATGACGAACACTTTCATCAATTACTCCTTCACACTGAAGTACGCTGGCTGTCGAAAGGCTTATGTTTGACAAGATTTTTTGCACTTTTTGAGACTATTTTAGAATTTCTGGATACTAAAGATAAAATTTTAAAAGAAAATTTAATGAAGAGGAAAACAGACATCGCCTATTTAACAGATTTGTTTACAAAATTTAATATGGTTAATTTGCAATTGCAAGGCGACAGTTTAAATTTGATTAAAACAAAGTCCATCTTATCAGCGTTTCTTGCCAGAGTTAAACTAATGAAGCAAAATATTGGACGGGGCGAATTTTCTCAGTTCCCCAATTTGTCACAGACAAGCTGCCAGGAAGACGACGTTTCAACTTACGTTCAACATTTAAATGCCCTCTATTCAGATTTTGAATCTAGGTTTGAGGATATTTTGACTAGGGTAATACCACCGTGGATAATTAATCCATATGGTGACATAGAAGAAACGAATGTCATAATATAAGAGGAACTGACTGAACTAAGTACAAACGAAGAACTTAAGGTTCAGTTTAAAAACGGATATCAGCAATTCTGGCTGCAAAACAACATACCCGTTACTTATCCCGTATTATGGAATATAGCGAGGAAATTTTTAATTTCCTTTCCATCGTCATACCTAGTGGAAAGGGGGTTCAGCGCTGTTACCAATCTCCTAACGAAAAAAAGAAACAAGCTGGACATCATTAACCGAGGAGATTTAAGATTAACCCTTACAAAATTGACGCCAAATGTTGATAATTTATTATTAAAGCATCAGGTTCATCCTTCTCACTAAAAATATTGACTTATTGCTTATGTTATTTTATTTATAGTTTATTTTATGTTTATTGGTGTCTGACCAATAAATGCCCGCATTGGGAATAAGTGCCCGCATTGATTTTTTTAAAGAACCCCCCTTTATAGAAAATATTTTTTTTAAAATTATTCTGAAAATTCAAGGATAGGTTCACACTAAAATTCGTTAATTTTTTGCCTATTTTTAGATAACTTAAACGTATAAGAAGCGGAATTTAATCAAATTAACAGTGAAATTATTGTAGAACATACGTTTATGTTATAATTAATAAACGAAATCGCTTATTGTACTATTTTAAGTAAAAATTTTTTTTTTTATTATTTTTCACTTTTTTTTATTTTATCCCTCTTATTTTTTCAAGTCAAAAGTTTCTTTTTCCTATTTTTGAGTGTTGTGAAATGAAAATTAGCAATGATGAGTACGGCAATATTATTTTGTGTACGGGTTCTGTAATGGAAATGCCTTAGCGGCTTCTCGGGAGTATCAATGTAGATTTCCTATCAGACGCCAACCCACCCCAAAGGTTTTTACGCGTTCTTTCTAAGACTTCGGCAATATGGAATTGACAAACTTCCCGGAGCTAGACGCCATGGTGTCCGGCATACTGTTCAAGAGGAACTGGAAGTGATTAATTTGGCGTTAGCTGATCCTAGTACAAGTACTAGGCGGATTGCAGCCCAGTTACCATGTTCTCAAAGTCTTGCGTGGAGAATTTTAAATCGGGTTTTATTTTACATCCTTACCATCGGCAAAATGTGCAATGTCTGCAACCTGGCGACGAAGTGCAACGGAAACATTTTTGTGAGTGGTTACTGCAAATACATAATCAAAAGGCAGATTTTATTGGTTTGGTTTTGTGGTCAGATGAATCGCTTTTTACGAGGAGTGGAACCTTTAATTCGCATAATGAACATATTTGGTCGTTAGAAAATCCCCATTCTGTAAGAAACCACTCGTTTCAACACATATTTTCTAGAGAATTACATAGAAAATGTGTTAGATGATGTTTCGTTAGCAACGAGAGTACGAATGTGGCATCAGCACGACGGTGCCCCACCATTTATTGAAATAAAGCTCTCACTTATCTAATTGTTTTTTTTATTTTTATGGAAACAATGCACTCTAAGAGAAAAACACAAGATTAAATATTTGTAGCAAATTGAAGGTAAAATTCGAAAAATATCGCGTATCGAAAAAAAATACAGTGGCGTACTATTTTTATTTGGAAAAATAATGCCACTAATTTCCTGTATCTTCGCCTCTGGTGTACGTTACCCCGTATCTTTTCAATGAAGCGCTTGAGGAAAAAACGTTACATCGCACAAAAAGTAGACCTGCCCTCCGAATGGTACAAAATACTGATCATGTTCTGGGTGGTTTTGCCAATTTTTAGGAGAACCATTATTTTTCATGATGGACGAAGCAAAAATATTGTGAAAGCGTGATCTGTTGGTTATTTGTCCATCACAAAATTTCCAAACCATTTGTTAGGGCTCCATATGTAAGACTCTAGGTCTGAGGCATTCATTCAGCTACAGACCCAGAAACACTGTGCCATTTTTCCTTCTCCTCAGTTTTTAATAAAAAATCGATACTTGTCACAACTTTTTTTTGTCTGGCGAGATACATGTTTATTCTTTATCAATATTTTTTTAATCACCTTGCTTCAAAAATACTGAAAAATACATGAAAGTATGTTTCTCACTGTAAGTGGGACGTACTATGTTAAAAAAAAGTAGGGGAAGTGTGCCTGAGATGGCATACTTGCTGAGTTGGCATAGCCGCTGTTTAATGTACATACATTTAAAATTACGCGCCTTTTGTTGCGACCCCTTGAAGCCACCGGCTCAAACTATTGCGTTAATCGGAAGCAGGACAGTTGCCGTTGAGTGGTCGAAAAGTACGTTAGTCACATTTTTGTTTACCCAAAGTATTTTTATGTGTCGTTCGCAAATAGTTTGGTGCGCCACGGGAGTAACTTAAAGGTATGTTATTGTAACTTTCAGATAGAGAATTTATTGAATATTATATCTAGGTTATCAGATATCTAGTTTAAAATGGGTTTGAGTAAAAATTGTATTATTTAAAAATAACCGTCAATTTTATGAGATGGCATACAGCAACTTTTATAAGATGGCATGGTATTCCATCTCAGCAACTTAATTATTTGAAACAATGTTTTCTAGACATGAGTCGCTACAAAAGAAAGTCAAACAGAGAATCATGGGATGAAAATAATACGCATGAAGCCATCTTAGCTGTAAAGGCGAAACGTATGGCGTCTAGCGTCAATAACGTTTAATGTCCCTTTTGGGACTTTAAGACGTAGGACAAGTAAGGAGGAAGGCTGGAAAAAAGGTTACAAAATCCAGAAAATGTGAAATTTGTAGCTAGTTTCATATTTTTATCATTACTATGCCATCTCATCAATAGTTACTTTCATGAGATGGCATGCCATGTTTATTTTTAAAAATATATTTTTTCGTTTGGTAATAGAAAAACCTTTTAAGTTTTGTGAAAACTTGCTTTATTTATTCCCACATAAAAATATTTTTTTGGCCATAAAGAAAAAAATTATAGTACCAAAAAAAAAGTATGCCATCTCAGGCACATTTTCCCTACGCATATGCTGATTTCAAGCACCTCAAGAGGCAAACAATATGTTTGCACAAATTCTTTAAGCACACCAATACGAGAGGAAGGTGAATCGATAAAATAAAAAATACATTTTTAAAAACATGCATTTTATAAGGTGAACTAAAATTTTAAAAACGTTTTTTGCTGATTGGAAATGTTTAAACGATAATGAAGCTCCTTCATCTTAAGTTTGTACACCCTTTATCGATCTGCTAACACGTAAGATGCTTTTGTTTGAAATCGCTTAAACATTTCTACTTTTTAGAAATTTTGTTTTCAAATTTCTATATAATTGAAGACATAAGTGGATAACGGTGTTATGTCACATTTCTTGCTAAAGTCTTTTTTTTTCGGATTTTGGTCCCCTCACGGACATAATTATGTAACTTGTTATAAGTGAACTGAAGTTTTAAACAGGTCAAGTTAAATGAAAGCTTGTAAAATATAAAACTATGTAAATTCTCTCAGTAAAGCGCGAAAAAGTTAATTGTCTGTTGCCGAGGTCGCCATTTCAAAATTTTGGAAAATTGGCTTTGACAACTATCTTACTGATTACCATGGGCGCCCGCAGAATTTTCACCCATGAGGGCCAGTACAAGTATGATTGTGCTTGCAAAATTCTTTGAGCCCAAAAACTTTCTGCAACTTTTTCTGAGATGTCCAAATCTTAAAGGTACTCCAAGAAGTCTTATGACTTTGTGGTTAATTATTTATATTAATTACATCGTATAATAAATGATAGTCATTAATTTATTCCTGATGATCTCTCGAGGAAAATATCTGCAAAGTTGGCATTTTCCTTTACACGACGTGTAGATCTTCAGAAAATAGGCGGATTTTCTTGGTAGCATATACACCAATGTCTCAAGAGAACCGAGATATTGGGCTCCGCAAACTCAATCAAAGCTGAACCAAACCAGAGCCGGCCCTGTCCTATCCCTTGATCACGTCCACAGCGCCAGCGCCAGCGTACAGTTATACGACGTACGACTACGATGTAAATACGGATTTTACGACAGAGCCGTACTTGGAATTTCAAGTCAACTGAACAGTGAGTACTTTTTCATTTTTTTTAACTTGTTCGCTCACGTTTCACCACACATTAGCTTTGCTATATCAAGCGTAGTTGTGTCTCAAAAGGAAAACCCCAACTTTGCGATATATCTCAAAAACTCAAAACTCGTGTTTTAATGGCATGATGTACTTTTAAGTTATTGCTAGAATATGTCAATGTATCTTATCAAACTATGGTAGACGAGATTTATTACATTCTATAAGGACAGGTTATATAAAAACCTATAATGTCATGCTTGAACTTATGATGTCAAAGCTTCAGTACAAAATTGTACATTTGAGCTTTGGAAAGGTTAAGTTCAAAATAAAATTGATAAAGCGAAGAGGATTTAAAACTAAATTAGAATGTTGCTGGTGAAAAGTGGGGCTACCGCTTGTTGCTGAGTGGCTGGTGTTGCTAGAATCACCGCGGTAAAATATACATGTACAGGGTGTACCAGAAGTCGACGTCAAGCCGGAAAGGAGGATACTTATCAGAGAAATATATAAAAATCGTCGTATACTTTATTTTATTCTTTGAAAAATCGGAAAAATCCAAACATTGTGATGATCTTTTAGTTCCCGTTACTACAAATTTTATTTTTTTCTTGGACGGAGTGACGGACAGTGCCATTCTACGTATTGATAGCAAGACATATAGTAACGCCACTTTGATTAATGCGTGAATGAATTTATTAAATTTACAATAAATGTTCAAACTGTCTTCCTTCAGCAGCAATGAAAGCTGGACATCTTCTTAAAAATAAAAATTTCGTGCTATCAGATGGGCGAATCTTCCGTTATTAACAAATTCAGCTGCTTCCTTTATTCTGTCCCATAGCTCAGCTAAATTTTCGATTGGATTTGAGTAAACTTTTTCCCCACTCCCCAGTAAAAAAATCGAGTGTATTTAAGTCAGGTGAATGGACTGACCACGATATTGTACCAGACCGCCGTATCCACCTGCTCGGGTATTCCGCATCCGCGCCGGGTAGCCGTCTTGCTGGTACCACATGTCTCTGTAAATGTTTAGTGGCACGACTTCCAGTAAATTTGGTAAATGCTTTTGTAAGAAGTCTAAATGAATTCTGCAATTCAAGAACTCTTGTAGCTCAAAGGGTACACTGACTCTCCCATTTAGAATCCCGGTCCACATGTTTATTTTTAAACGATACTGTGATATATATTACCTCATCAAATGTGGATTTTCTACATGTGTAACACTCGTGTAAGTTGGGTAGATTCATGTGACCATCTTTTTTAAATGTCGA